ATCATCATCAGTACTGACATCATCACCATCAACACCAAGTTCAACACCATCCTTATCATCACAAGAATATAAATTCTCAGAGAGCATTGACGATCTGCTTTATGTTCCCCAGTGTATCTCCAGGGCCTGGCACAACACAGGTGCTCCATTAGATTGTTGGTTGATTCATCATCACTAGGTTTACTAGGATTTTCCATCTTTAATTGATGGAATAATGTCAGAGACGTTCACACTCATCAGGACCTCTCCAACAGAGATGCCATGAACTGGTATTTACCTGTGTGGCTGGGGAAGGAGAATGGAGACTCAGAAGTTCTCAGGTCCACCGTGGAGATCCTAGGAGCTGAGGAGAAGCCCTCATTAATGAAATCAGCAAGGCCCCCTTGGGGCAGAAATGCCAGAAGGAGGGACTATTTACAGGGTTTGTGGCTTGGAGGCTTGAACTTGGACTCTCTCTGAAGCTGGGCAGAGCAGAGGGTAAAAACATTCTGCTCTCTCTAGCCAGGCATTGGTGGTGCATGCCTGGAATCTCAGTGACTTGGGAGGCCCAGGCAGGAGGATCAAAAACTTGAGGTCAGCCTGGGAAACTTAGCAAGACCCTGTCTCAAAATAAATAATAATGATAATAAATTAACTTTTCTCTCTCAGATCTTTTTTTTTTTTTTGCTTCTGGATAGGACAAGGAGGGCATGAGGATGGGTCAGACCCTGCTCTGCTTGGTGGGGATGGGTCACTGGAACATCAGCGGGTACTCACTGCTGGTGACGAGGGAAGGGCTCCAATGGGTGAAACCTGCAGGGAAAAGGAGGGGAGGTGGACAAGGGTTAGGGCAGGGGTAGCGTTCTAAGAAGGGGTCAGGGATTCTGGGACTTCAGGGGGTTCATGAAGCAAGGGCTGCAGAGGATTCTTCATCAGGACCCTCATGTCAGGGAAGAAGGTCCTGAGGGTGAATCAGTTCAAGATGAGAAGAGACCATGAGATCCAGACCAAGCCCAGGGCCAAGTCCACAGGGCCAGGAAAGGAGTGTGGTCAACAAGGAGGACTCCAACCCCCTGCAGCTGCTCACCATTGACATAGAGACTGTCCTTGTCCAGGGTGTAAGGTCCCAGACGGGTGATGTTATAGGTCAGCTGGCTCAGCTCCCAGTACAGTCTTTCTCGGTCCAATATGTGGCCTTTAGGGTCGGGGCGATGTGTGCAGATCAGGTCCACTCTGGTGGCTGCCCCGTCCTTCTCAGGCCTGGATAAATACCGTACATGGTCCAACTACTCTCCGTTCTACCCTCTTTCTCTTTGCCAGTTCCCGACATAGAAACTGGGGAAACCCTAGTTAACAAGGAAGCTGCTGTCCGCATGGAGACGCCCACTGTGAACGATTATTAGGATCAAAATGCCAGTCCCCTGGAGCACCGGACACACAACAGACGCAGAGCGGGGCTGTCCATGGGGACAAGCGATCCCAGGGATGTCAGGACAGCAGAGTCCTAACACAGGTTCTGATGGACACAACAAGGTGCTGAGGGTCAGGGTGTAATGGGCAGCAGGGCCCCCAGGAAGGTGACCATAGCACAGTGAGTGACATTGTCCCTCAGAGAGCTGGCATCAGAGGCTAAAGTAGTTACCCTCTCTAGATCCTGTGGAATAGCAGGGTTGGGACACTCCTAAGGAGGCTAGGTTGGTAAAGGACATGGGAGAGATGGCTGTTTGGTGGA